CCTAACTCCACCATTTACAATCACCTTCCTACTTGAGGGACGTTTTATAATGCGTAAAACTAAAAAATACGAACAAGACTCAGAATGTAATTTTGGTACTACTGTTGAGAGTTTTATTGGCTTTGTCAATATTACCATGGCAAGGGGTGAAATATCCTATAAACAGTTTAGGGTATATTGCTGAAAGTAGGAAAGCATGTAAAAAGACTGTGGAGTGGGGAGTTACTGGCATTCCAGACTGTATATTCCAAGTGTAGCCTGGAGGAAAAAAACTAGTTATTTTCAAAGAGCTAAAGGTAGTTTCCTCTTGAGTATTAGGCTCTTGTTTGTTTGCTAGAAAAGGACCTGCAGATTGGGTGTGAAATGACAGGCTTTTTGAGTCATGGTCTAGAAGGGAAGGCAGAACAGAGGGAAAGCTAAAATCCTCAGCATAAAGGTTTCATTCTACAGCAAAAGTGGGAGGGTCCTAATACTGAAGTAGAGTGTCCTTGGGTCAATGGTCTTAAAATTATCATCTGTGATCCTGTCTTGGAGAACAAATACACAAAATAAAGTGACATTACTGGAGCTTGTATACACAAGTTTTTAATTAACATTGCAGCTATCCATTAAAAAACTTAGAAAAAGTTTATTAGGTTGTAAAATTATAGTGTTTTAAATTTCATTTATTATTGTTTTTCTTAAGAAACAGGTCAGCAATGCATATTGTTTTTCCTGGCTAAGGCTCTGGTAGTATCTGACATGATTACAAAACTCCTGACATTATGTGTAAAAACTTGCTGAGCAGAGTAGACAGTTCCATTCTAACCTAGAACGCAGAGCCCGGAGCTGAGTGATGTGATCCAACCTTCCTTTGCTCCCAGAATGTGAGGGCTCAGAAGAGGGGAAGCCCCTAGTAATCAGCCGGGCGGCCCCACTCCTGGGCAGAACTGAACTCTTGCAGGAAACCCCAGGTGAAGAGCGGTGCCTATGGCTGTTTCCCGCCTTGGTGGCAAGGGGTTGCTAACGAAAGCTTTAGGAGACAGACTAGGTGAACTTTTCTGGAGCCCCTGGCGGAGGTCGGGTGGGGTGATAGGGCCAACTCCCAGGCACAGGTAGGCTCCAGAGATGCCCTGGACTTGGAGGAGTTCGGCTGGCAGCACACTTGGACCATCACCAGTTTGGAGTCTGGCAGATGCCGCTGCCCCACAGGCCCACTGTCCTCTTTCCTTCCTTCCTTCCTTCCTTCCTTCCTCCTATGTACTCCCCACTGCTCACTTCTGTCCAGTTTCTTCCACCAGGAATTTTCCATCATTCCAGAGGCCTGCCTGGATAAATTCCAGTGATTTCTCATGACTTATGGACTTCTGTGCAGTGCCGCACATTGCTAGAACTGGCTTCATTTTCTAGTATTAAGATACTCAAGTAACTTCAATGTCTTCTCCCTTAGAAAATCCACAAGTTAAATTTGTGGAATGCAGGCAGGGTTATTGGAAATGAAATATAAGGTTTCAAAGAATACTGAGGACTTAATTTAACATCCCCCCGCCATCTCTGCAATTTAATCATATTTCATGTAAACAGTCATTATTTTTTCAAGTCATAAAATATTAAGTAAACACAGATGATAAACACTATCTGTGTTTGAAATAAGAAAGAGCCCTACCCCTAACTCCCACACCAAATGTGAGCTCATCTTCCCCCAAGGCAGCCAGGCAAATTCAAGCTCCAGAGCTCCTGTGAAATATAAAGTAATGAAAAGAAAGTGCACAGGCTTAAAAAGAAATAATGATAATAATAATAAAACACTGCTTGCAGGAAAAAATAAATGAAAGGCAGAAAATGAAACAGGTCTCCAAAAAAGTCATTTCTTAAGACTTTCACCTCTATTCTCCTAAAATAAAACATTTCAAATAAAATCTAAGTTCCTCCTGCCTGTCTGTGTTGCACACACACACTTTGTTAGCAAAGGGGGTGGGGTCCCTGGAAACAGAAACAAGCAGTTTCCTGGTCTGTGTCACATTACTCCGACGAGGAACCAAAGAACCGACGGAGAAAGTGCCTGACCTCTCCCACTGCCCATCACTGTCCCTTCTCTGACCTGAACGCTGGGGGCTTTCAACTTCCACTCGTTAAAAGCCTGGCCCATCCTCCAGGCTGCAGTCAGGCTCACTATGTCCACGACAATGTCAAGGACTATCCCCAGAATCTCATTATCTGCTAATCTTTACTTCTGTTCCCCTGGTGTCTCTGTGAATGGGCTTTGAGTCTGCCGTCTGAAACACAAATCCACCGTGATGTTCTTCTTTGTGTCCTGTGGCAGGCCCAGTTCTATCACTTGCACTCCTTTTTTGTCAGCCTGCATGACAAAGCTGTTCACCAGAACAAAGAATAAATGGAAGGGAAGGGTACTCAAAGGAAGAAATCATGCATTTTTCAGAAAACTCACCGACTAGAAGAAATTATCAAAATCGTTTTTCACTGGTTCTTATTAGACTCGAGTATGTGGTCACGCTCAGAATTTAGGAAAAACATACACACTTACAGTCTACTACCCTGGATTTACATATATGCTATTTCAGTGAAAAAGCACACCATAAAGAATCAGCACTATGCAAAGTGGAATTAAACGGAGTGTGGGGGCGGGGGTGAAAGGCAACCATTTTAGAAAGGAGTTAGGACATCAAAGAAGGTCAAAGAATTTTTCAAAAAGTGGAGAACCAGAGGGAGTGAGCTAAAAGATAAGGGATGGTGGCTGGAAAATGAAATGTTAGAACTGAGACTGTAGAAGTATTGTGATTACTGGTGATTGCAAAATATTAAAAGTACAACCATAGGAGTAGGCAGCCAAGTAAGGTAGAGACACGGTCACTGGAGGAAAAGTAGTCATAGAACTGGAAAGGTGAGTCTGGAAAGGTTACCCACAAGGATGTTAAAACTGCCAAGCATTTTGGCAGTACGGTATAAAAGGGAGCTGGAGCAGAACCATCTAGGACAGGCAGGAAAGTATCCTGAAGTTGGGGGCCATGTGGTGCTGGTAGTAAAGAACCTGCCTGCCAAAGCAGGAGACATAAGAGACACGGGTTCAATTCTTGAGGTGGGAAGATTCCCTGGAGGAGGACAAGGCAACTCATCTCAGTGTTCTTGCCTGGAGAACCCCATGGACAGAGGAGCCTGGAGGGCCACAGTCCATAGGGTTGCAGAGTTGGACACGACTGCAGTGACTGAGCATGTATACACGCACAAATAACAGAGAAAGTTGAAGAGGGTATTTAGAGAAGACGTTTGAGGATATAGGGGATTTTGTTAATGATGGACTGTTGGTTTCAGAGGACGTAACAGAAGTGTTTTAGAAGGTGTGGGCAGGGGAGGATAGAGAGCTGAGCGAAAGTACCCAGACATATGGGAAGAGTCTGGAGGATGAAGGTTGACTAGGAAGCCTGAGGTTCTCAAAGTGACCACATAACTCAGGGCTCAAGGGCCTAATGAGATCAAATAGATACTGGAGGCAAGGCAGTGAGCTGCTCCAGAGCACTCCTGCCAAGTGCTAGGAAGGGCCTGTTTTATGCCAAACACAGATGACTCTGGAGATTTCTTTCCAACCACTTCCACCATTCACATTGTTCCCAGTCCGATAGCAAACAGGTTTTATTCTCTGTGGTCAGGGAATGACTGCCTAGAACACTGTAGTATAAAGAACCTCAAGGCCATATTCAGATTTAGGAGATAGAGAAAAAAAAAAAGTGGTCATCTCTATGCCAGTATCTGCTCTCCCTAGTTTAAGGTGATCCCTAGAACTCAGTTCAACGACTCATTCTCCATCCCACCTCCCACTTTTTTTTTTTCAAATGACTTAGATTTAATCATCAGGAGCAAACTAAATGGAAAGCTTACAAGAGAGAAGAATTACATGTCAGTGCCTTTTGCAAACTGAGCTGGGACAGAAAGAGACTGGGGCTGCCCCTCAACCTGATCCCTTCCAAACAAAGATATCCACAGTGTCCCTGGCAGTCTGGCTCAGGGAAGGGGGAGACTCTGTTGGCTCTGTGCGTTGAGGTTTCCTTGTCCACTGCTCACTCCTGGCCAGCATCAGGAGCTCCACCCTGCCGGCTCTGGTCGTCACCCTTCTTTTTGTGGCCTGAGATGGTGTCATCAATCCGCAGCAGCAGAACTGCCGTCTCTACTGCTGTCTTATACGTTTGTAGCTTGACAGCCAATGGTTCCCAGATGTCCAGTTCTTTCATGTCCACCAAAGTGCCTGTCTCACCATTTACACCCCAAGTTTCACAGTTCTCCTGGGTATGCTCGGCCCGAAGGGAGGTAAGTAGACGGATGGTGCTGGCTCCACAGTTCTGGATAAGGGTGCAAGGGATGACCTCTAGGGCTTGAGCAACAGCCCGATATGGCCACTGTTCCACACCAGTCATGGCTTTGGATTTTTCTGTCAAGGCATGAGCCACAGCCATCTCAGAAGCCCCACCCCCTGGCACCAGCTGAGGGTCCAGAAGAACATTGCGGCACACTTGCATGGCATCCTGGAGGTTGCGTTCTACTTCCGAGAGGATCTCTTTGCTGGCCCCACAGAGAAGAATTGTGCAGGCCTTGGGGTCTTTGCATTCAGTGATGAATGTAAAGTACTCATCTCCAATTTTCTTGATTTCTAACAGGCCTGCCCCTGTTCCAACATCCTCTTCTCTCAGTTCCTCTGGCCGGCTGACTATCCGGGCCCCACAGGCTCTAGCAATGCGATTATCATCTGTCTTCCAGACTCTGCGGATGGCTGTGATATTTGCTCCCATGAGGTAGTGCTGAGCTAAATCGGAGATGCCCTTCTCTGTGATGACCACATCTGGCTTCAGCTGGATAATGTCCTCAAAGAGCTGCTGAATGTACTCTTCTTCCATTTGGAGAATTCGGGTGAAGTCTTCCTCTCGTGTGATCTCAATGTCAGTCTGGCTCTCTCCTTTCTTATATTCCAGAGAAGAATCCAGCAACACAATGCGAGGGTTCTTGATATAGCGTCACATTCGTGGATGGGTCACATCCTTGTTAATCATGACTCCACGTAAAACACACGAGTCTTCAATGATGCCCCCAGGTATCTTTTCTACCCTTGCATATTTCTTGATGTCAATCTCTTTCCGGCCATTCTCCTCAAACGGTACAGGTCTGACAGCATCCAGGGCAATGTTGCAAGCCAAAGACGACCACCGACTGATTACTTTGGTAGTAATGGAGCTGTTAATGATGTTCAGCATCGTATCTCGGTTACTGGTGTCAACAGGGATATTTATTTTCTCAAGGGTGCTGATCATATCACCCAGTGCCCGGCAGTAAGCACTGATCACCACTGTCGGGTGCATCTGCTGCTCCAGGAAGTGCTCAGCCACAGACAGCATCTCCCCAGCAAGAATAATTACTGACGTGGTCCCATCTCCAACCTCTTCATCCTGTGTCCGGCTAATTTCAATCATGGACTTGGCCGCTGGATGCTGTACTTGAATCTCTCGAAGAATGGCACTGCCATCATTGGTCATCACAATGCCTCCCATGGGGTCCAAAAGCATCTTCATCATAGACTTGGGTCCCAAACATGTTCAGATGATATCTGCGATAGTCTTGGCAGCATTGATGTTTCCAGATTGAACTTTTCTTCCAGATTCACACTTTGTGTTCTGGCTAAGGATGAGCACTGGACGATGACCCATCATGGCGGCGCGATAGGGAGCCAGGTACCCCCACCTCCCACTTTTTAACTTGCTTCTCAGCCTCTCAGGACTTTTACATATGTCACCTCACTTCAGGGGGCAATGTCAACCCTCCCTGAAGATCCTACACAGCTCTCTGCTAATGCACGCCACATCTCCATGTCTGGACAAGACCTTGCTCCTGAGCATTAAAAACCTGTCTGCACATTAAAAACCTGTCTGCAGTTTTTTCCTGGGCTTGGAGCACATCAATGGTGCTCATCAATCCCCTGTCCATGCTACCCCAATCTGTTCCTCTCCCGTTTATCCCAGAGTATATCCCCATTTACCCATTTCAACAACCCAAGTCTTCTTCAACTCCTCCTCTCCCCCACATCTTATCGGCCACCTATTTCCATCCATTCAATCTCTGAAATTCCTTAAATCCACTCCCTGCCCTCCCTCCCCACTGCCTCAGCCTTGTTCACATCTTCTTCTGAGGAGACTTGGGAAGTAGACTCCACCCAACTCACCCTCCCACAGCGAGTGACCTTTGTGAAGCATTGATTCTCCCTTCTTAAAAGGCTTTAGGAGCGCTCCAGCCCATACAGGGTAAAATTCAAAGTTCTCAGCCCTTGACAGATAACACTGCCCATGCTTGTTCATGTGCTCCCTCTCCCACTAAACTATGACCTCCACCAAGGCAGGAAGGTATGCCTCCTTTGAGTTCCCAGTAATTGGTTGGAGATGCAGAATATACTCAATAACTGTGAAGTAATGCAAGCAGGCAGAGGAAAAGTATAAAAGGCAACTCAACATTAAAGACTCTCCTTCATGAGAGTTGATATGAAATCATTTTCTACAACTTCCTGTTATAGCTGATTCATCTCTGCTCTTACCATAAATAGCAAAGGAATAAAAGTCTCTTAACTTAACAATTAAAAAATATAGCGAGGGTTGAAATGAGGGGTTTTTCTGGAAATCAGGTCTTAATATATATTTTCTTATATTGGATTCCACCATTTTCGAGGTGTGTAACCCTGGGCAAGATACTTAACCGCTGGCTTCAGTTTCATCACTTATAAATTGGAAAGAAAAACAGTAACTAATTCAAATGGTTGCTATGGGAATTAAACGAGATCGTGTCTGAAAAGTGTGTTAGAATAGGAAATGTTCAATAAGTAAGTTACTCTGAAAGAGATTACTTTGATAGTTACTCTGAAAGAGATTGCACATAAAGTTTATGAAAACTAGAAGCATTATTGCTATTAGACAATGGGAAATATGTGTGTATTTCCTAGAGTGCAGGGAATATATCTTTACTTCTTCTATACAGTTCAGGCCATACCAAGTCAGGCTCTGAAGGAGATTGGGAGTTTTGTGTCTGGTCTCCCCAACCTTTCTCTCTCCCAACATTTTCTACCCCCACGATCTCTGGAGAGGTCCCACAGCTCCCGGAAGACAGGTAGCAAATCTGACAGCCCTCTGTAGAAAGAGACTTGGGTCAAAAGGACCATTTGATTAACTTCCAACATTATCTCAAAATTGTTTATTCATATGTCCTAGAGATACATTGACACAATGGAAAAACTCATTCTTTTTTTTTGAACTTACACACTGCAGTTTTTCTTTCAGCATCTTACCTTAAGAAAATATAAAGTTATCCAGTATCTCTGCTCTCTTTCCACACATGCAAGAATATTAGAATTATTTAACACAAGTTCCACTTCCTCCTCCTTGTTCTTACCTAAAAATTTAAAAACTCATTCATTTTACTGGGCCATTCCTCCTGTAATAAACCAGAAATAAACTTTTTTTCCCCCACGAAATGCATAACTATTTTGTGACTAACACATAAAATTTTACTTTACATCTGTGTGTTTTTGACCTCTACAAATAGCAAGTTCATATTGTTCAATCTAGTATCTGAAGAATGTTAATTTGTTGATTATAAATATTTTTAAAATATATAACAATTTTCTATTTCTGTCATATGGCATTTCTTCACTTTTTAATATACTGAAATTCTCAGGAAATGACTTGGGTCAAGCGGACCATCTGATTAACTTCCAACATTATCTCAAAATTGTTTATTCATATGTTCTAGAGATACACTGACACAATGGAAAAACTCATTCATTTTTTCTTTGAATTTACACACTGCCGTAAGTTGGTAGGGAAGTCTACCCTCCAGGAGCACAAGTATGAAGCATCTACAAAGCAAATCTTTCTTTTACTGATAATAACTATCTTTTATAACACCTCTTCCATGTATTTTTATGTTAAAAGATCTAAAGATATGACTTCTTAAAAAATAAAAGGAAAAGAGAGGAAAAAAATAAAAAGGATATGGAGGAACGAATGTCCCATCATATATTATACAAAATGACAATAATTACAAGAAACCTATTTCATAAATTACTGGGGATTTTACATGTGATAATATACTGCAAAGAACTTTAAAGGGTTAAAATCCAATCATGAAAGGCTGTCCACTTGTGTTCCAAGGACCATTTTTGGTCTGTGAATGCTTTGTTTCTGGTCCATGGTGAGATAAGTATGAAAATTTGAGAGTAAGCATTTAGAACTGTTATACAAATTTGACAAAGTAATTTTACATCTGCTGAATCAAATAATAAAAGATTTGGGCTTATATTTTGTGTGTCTGAATTTTCACTTCATTTTCTAGTAATTCACTTTCATTGTACTTTACAAAGGCAAAGAAAACCTGTCCTTCACCACACATAGTTTGAGAAGCATTGAAAAAAACTATTATTATTTTTGCAATTTTGCTTAACAACCATTAATTTCTAATTACAAAGTAGTTATATGTCATTATTTGAGAAATACTTCCAACCAAGTGTGAGGTACTGCCAGCATACAAACAAGTTCCAAAGCAAGTCTGTTTTGTATTGGGTAACTTGGTTATTTGGGAGTCAGAAACCAATTTTTCCCGTGAAAAAACATAAGCCAGGGGTTAGGTTGGTGTAGCATACAAATTCCAGTCATCTCAAAAAACTGCTAAGCTATACTATAGAACGTAATCACTCGTATGTACTATAGAATTTAATGATCAGTCCTCTCTATTCTCTTGTGATGAAGAAATTAGGCTTCTGATTTCCAAATCAGAAAATCTCTCTTCCCCCAACCCAACTATGAGAAAAGATAATCCTCAGCCCTGGCATGGTAGGGATAGGGATTTGTGGTGCTTTTTTAACTTTTTTGTTTTATTTTGGAGTATAACCGATTTAACAATGTTGTGATAGTTTTAGCGAAGTGACTCAGCCATATATATATACACACATGTACCCATTCTCTCCCCAAATCACCTTCCATCCAGGCTGTCACATAACATTGAGCAGAGTTCCCTGTGCTATACAGTAGGTTCTTGCTGTTTATCCATTTTGAATATAGCAGTGTGTACCTGTCCATCCCAAACTCCCTAACTCTCCCTTCCCAGAATAGAGCTATTGGGCTCTTCACACAGAGTCATGAGGAATTAGGAGACCAAGTCTGAGGGAACTCACTGGTCAAATTAATAAAATTAAACTGAGGGTTCCCCAAGATTCTCTGAGACAGGTATGGTATGTCTCGCTGGATTTGAAAGCTTGGTTCTTTACCACAAATGCCTCCATCCTAAACCCCAGGGCATTGTGGTGGCACAAGATGGTGAGCGGGCTTCATTCTGAACCGACCTCTGTCACTGGCTACCTCAGGGACCTTTATTTCTCTTCTGCTGTTGTTTGAAAAGATGTGAAGACAAGCCTAGGCTTAGTGAGAAACAGTGGAAGGCTCAATTAGTGATGTCTGCCATGGGCAGGTTGGCACAAGAGCTATGTTTCACTACCCTGAGTATATCTTGAAGAAAAGAGACCTTTGACCCTTTAAGTTCAGTTGTAACCAGACTGAATTACTAATATGAAGAACATGAGTTTAAAAAATGCCAGGGCATAGCAAAGGGAAATAGCACACAACAATTATATGTACAATTAAATGTATAGGCATAGTTTTATCTACTGGTCACTATCCAGAATCATTGGCATAGGCTCAGAATAACACAGAAGCCCTGGGCATAGGTCTACATTCTAAATTCTGATGTCATATATGAAATTCTTCTCTTCTCTAAAGACTGTCATTAAAACCCTCCCTAGGGTTTCCCTGGTGGCTCAGTGGTGAAGAATCCACCTGCCAATACGGGAGACATGGGTTGGATCCCTGATCTGGGAAGATCCCACATGCTGCAGAGTAACTAAGCCCCGTGAGCCGTAATTATAAGCCCACATGCCCCAGAGCCCACTTTCCGCAACAAGAGAGACCGTCACAATGAGAGCCTGCATACGGCAACTAGAGAGTAGCCCCAACTCACACAACCAGAGAAAAGCCTGTGCAGCAGTGAAGACTCAGCACAGCCAAAAATTAAAAAAAAAAAGCATGGTATCAGGGTATTTGTGTTCAGACAGACAATTAAAAAACAAAACAAAACACCTCCCTAAAGAAGAGATCCCACCCTTAACTACCCAGTCATAGGGTAACTATGGCACAATTCTTAATCCAAATGGTCCATTTATAGAATTCCAGAGGGTCTATGACCTTGAATGAGGGGGAAATACCTTGATTTCTAATGGAATTAAGCATTGCTTTCAATTATGAAAGTAGAAAACAAACTCCAGAAGTATTAGCAATACTTGTGACTTTGTTACTAATGGAAATAAGAGTTATGATCATTATTTCATTAGTGCTACAGATTTCTTGAAATAACATTTATGTGCATTATTACTTGAAAAAAATAGTGCTACACCTTGCTATTTAATGTGTGAGCAACGTAGCACACATTAGACTGCTATATTACTACAGTACAGACTTCCGAAAGAACATTTTGATAATTTCTTTGGAACGTGATTGATCTCCTTTGCAACTGGTACTGTCATTGTATGCACTTAGAAACGTTTTTCTAGGAAGGTATCTACAGTTTCACTACTGCCAGAGGAGACCATTACACACAGAAAAGGCAAGCCTCCTGGGCTTTCAAAGGACAACTATGTAACTACGTACCACGCAACAGAACATAACGTCCCTCAGGACCGAATCAGACATTCACATCCAGAAACTGAAAAGTGAAAGTCAGAATTGCTCTTTGCCACCAGGCCAGAATACTGCAGTGGGTAGCTGTTCCCCTCTCCAGGGATCAAACCCAGGTCTCTCGCACTGCAGGTGGATACTTTACCAGCTGAGCCACCACGGAAGCCCAAGAATACTGGGGTGGGTAGCCTGTCTCTTCTCCAGCGGATCTTCCCGACCCACGAATCGAACCAGGTTCTCCCGCATTGCAGGAGGATTCTTTACCAGCTGAACTACCAGGGAAGCCCTACAGAAAAAGAGGGGTCTTATTTTTTCTCCTGGGCTGTATTACAGGTGAGAAACTGGCATCTGCTTTTATTTACTCGTTGCTAATAAGACCTATGTCTGTTGAAAATTCTCAGTTGTGACCAATTCTGCCTACATAATGTAGAGTGACAATTAACCAGCAACTATCAGAAGCTTATTTCAGCCATACTTGTTCCCTGGTGGGTTGGATCATAAAGAATCCACCTACAATGTTGGAGACCTGGCTTTGATTCCTGGGTTGGGAAGATTCCTCTGGAGGAGGGAATGGCAACCCACTCCAGTATTCTTGCCTGGAGAATCCGAGGGACAGAGGAGCCTGGCGGGCTACATACAGTCCCTGTGTTCGCAAAGAGTGGAATACGACTGAGTGACTGGAGTGAGCACAGTCTGGATGAAGCATTGCTTAGAAACTTGATGTTTCCTTCCTCCCATCTGTATCCTGTTATTTAAAATAGTGATTCCAACATAATATATTTACAAGACATGACCCAGTATCTTTTCCTGTAGTAATAATAATAACCCCCCCCGCCCCCCCCACACACACATATACCCACACTCTTTAAAACTGTCCCTCGTAAGTTTCTAGGACGTAAGTTCCAGGACTAGGATGGAAGGAATGTCTGCGAAGTGGGATCTAAGCAAAGCCCGAGGACTGCTTGAGATTCTTGCGGGGCTGTCAGTGAAAGGAAGTGAAGGAATTCCACGTGTCATCTAACCGGGCCTAACCCGGGCGGGGGTGGGCTCCTGGTCCCAGGGAAGGTGTCTGAGGAGGCAGGTTTGTGGTGTCAAAGGCCAAGGGCCCGGCCGAGGGCGGAGCCCCGGCTTCCCGCCAGCAGGGCGGCTCGGGGCGGAGCGCAGCCCAATCGGCCCGGCGGTACCGCGGCGCCGCCCACAGTGCTCCCCGGTCCGGCGGGGCGAGGCGGCGCGGCTCCCGAGCCATGGGGCGGCTGCTGGCGCTGAGCTTGCTGGGGATCGCGCTGGCGCTGCTGGGCGAGAGGTTCCTGGCGCTCAGGTAGGGGCCGGGGGCCCTCCCGGGTGCGCAGGGTCGGGGTGGCCAGGGCTGAGGCATCGCGGGGACCCTTGTGCTGGAGCCCGGGGCCGGGGAGGCTCTCTGCCGGCTCTGCTCCCCGGCCCGCCGAGCGCCGCCACCCCACCCCCAGCCGCCCGCAAAACCCCACACAGTTTGGGCTGAATCGCGAGACTTCCTGGAGAGTTTACAAGCTTTTGCTGCTCACAAAGTTCTTTGCTACCTAGGTTGACGAGCTGTGCGGGTGCCGTCCAATTTACTCAAGGGCAAACCTTGTGCTTTAACTTGAAAACAACACTATTACTCATGCACGGAAACTTTAATTATAAAGATTTATTTCAGGTCACGGATCCTGCTTCTCTTTGGTGCCCAAACCAGCCTCTGTGTTTAACAAAGTTGTTCTCCATCCCTCCCCTGCCGCGTTGGAGAAGCTTCCTCTGCTCTGTAATCTTGGCGCAGTAGATCAAAGATACTTGAAATATTCAGCTACTGTTCTTACATCACTTCCTTATTTATCTCCTCGTCCAGGAACCGTGAAGCCAGAATGCCAAAAAGGGCACGCCTAGTCCTTCTCACATTTTACTTATTATGAAAAGAATGCGATAAGCAGATGTCACAGTCTTCGAATTATCAATTCAAATTATATAAGCCTTAGGCGAAAAAATTCCAGAAATGCTGAGCATCTGTTCTGTATGCTGTGCTCTCTTAGGCTCCTGTAATAGAGTAAGGCACCGTTCTTAACCTATTAAAGGGAAGGAGAGAAATAAGACAGATGGATAAACTAGGATGTTCAGTGTGGCAGTGTTAGTCGCTCAGTCGTGTCTGACTCTTTGCAACCCCAGGAACAGTAGCCCGTCAGGTTCCTCCATCCATGGCATTCTCCAGGCAAGAATACTGGAGTGGATTGCCTGTTCCCTTCTCCAGAAGATCCTCCTGACCCAGGGATCAAACCCAGGTGTCCTGCATTGCAGGCAGATTCTTTACCATCTGAGCTACAGGGACGATCAGGATGTTCAGGACAGGTACAGACCAACCTCTATAGGCTTAAGGAGGAAAAATGACTGAACGCCTGAAGTTGAAGCTCAGGAGGAAGACATGTGACATTGTCCTGGAAGGATGGGTGAAACCCAAGTGGGGAGGAAGGAGGCAGTCCGAGATGCAAGTTGGAGCATGAACAAAGGGACTGATGTGGGGAAGTCTGGATCTGAGGGGAGCTTAAAGTTAAGGGATGATAACAGTAGGGACAGGGGATGGCTAGGTCTCGAGATGGTTATTAAAGGTATGCTGAGAAACTGGGGCCTGCTTTGATAGGCAAAGGGAACTGTCAGTGTTTGCTGTGTGTTTTATTTTTTAAACAGGAGCCTGTTTAAACTTTCTAAAGCATAATCAGCTGGACTGTGCAGAGTGGACCTGGAAGGCTGGATTGGAGTAGAGCAGTGATTCTCAGTCCTGGCTGTGCCTTAGGCTCTCCAGGAGGCCTGCTGTCTGGACAGCACCCCCCGCAGTTCCAGTCCTGTTGCTCTGAGTGGGGCCCAGGCATGAGTATTTCTTATTTTTCAAAATTCTCCTGATAATTCTCATATGACTTTAGAGCTGACAAGTACCAGAAGGAGACTAAAAAGACCTGGGGAAACTAGTTAAAGTATTGCAGTGGTTTGGCCCAAACTCTGGAAGCCCGGGGGATGAGGGGTAGGTCAAAGGTGATGCTAGAGTTTCCAGCTCAACTGGCTTAGCTGTAGCTTCATCTGCTCATAGAAAAACACCAGGAGGACAGTGTCTGTGCAACAGGAAGGGTCAGAGTCGGAGGAGGAACGTTCACTGGTAAGAAATGGACACACTGAGCTTAATTTTTATGTTATATAAACAACTATCCTGTTCTGCAGAAGGTTATTGAGTTGGATGATTTTGTATGCTCTATCCAGCTCCCACTAAAATTCACAAGCTCATTAGGTTATCCCTATAGTTCAAACCACCAGTGTTTCCATTAACTGAAGTTTCCTCAGTTTATAAGTTTTTCTTCTTACTAATCTTAAGGTTTTAAATTTGAGTCCCTTTGAATGATAAATGTGGTTGCAAACCTAAGAAAAAGTAGATAAATCTTATTCATACAGACTGTACCTGATGGGTCATTTAAAATTTAATGTGTCTTTTCTTTATAAAGACTTGACTATAATAAACTTTATTTATCAGTGACTTCACAGGGTTGTAACCTCATTGGTCAACTGAAGCCTCATATTGGCCGATGTGAGAAGGTGAGGGGAATAATGGATGGACAGATCTAGCAAATAAAAATGCAAGAAACCCAGTCAAACTGGAATGTCAGATAAACAACACATCTTTTTTTAGTACAAACATACCCCATGCAATATTTGGGATGTAATTATACTAAAATAGTATTCATTATTTATCTGAAATTCAAGTTTCACTCACATTTTATCTGGCAACCCTGTAAGTGCAGAATATCAACTACCTACTGTTTACCAAGTCTGGTGGAGTGCTTAAATGCATCTCTCCTTTCAGTCCCTTGGAATATTTTGAAAAGCAGCATCTCCCACCTCCACAAAGAGAAAGCCTCTTCAAACACAGGTTTTCGGTTTGTTTTTTCACTCATCTGGTGCCTTCTAGTTCATTATTCTAGTTTTAGAGACAGTACTTTGGCACTCAAGTTATTTCTCTCCCCCGAGCTGCCCACTTAAATTCAGATAAGCAATGAATAGTATTTTAGTGTAAGTATGTCATGGATGGATAAATGGAATCAGAGTTGTCTATTTCCTTCTGAACTGTAGATGGCTAAGGTTCCCAGGGGAGGATGGCATATCATACCCAACTTTTCCACTCCTCCCTAGTTGAACAATAAAGGGGAAAACAGAAATACACAAATATCTCCAGGTCTGTGCTCTCTATTCCAAAGCACACAGCCTTGAATGAATCGTAAGACTTGAGTGCGTAAGAGACCTGTGCGTGAGCAGGAAATCCAGAAATAAGCATCTGAACTTTCTCCTTGTTGCCTGACATCTTTTATGACAACTCCACCAAGAAGCTATCCAATGAACACTTCTGAAGGGGCAGCCTGTTTTTCAGCCACCATCCGCCTTATTTATTGTGTGACTACCGTGTGCTGGTCTTAAATGGCTGTGCTGGGCCTTCATTGCCACATGGGTTTTCCTCTAGTTGCAGAGAGTGGGGGCCACTCTCTCGTTGCAGTGCACAGGCTTTTCATTGTGGTCGCTTCTCTTGTTGCAGAGCATGCGCTCTAGGTGTGTGGGCTTCAGTAGTTGTAGGGCGTGGGTTCAGCAGTTACGGTTCCTGGGTTTTAGAGCACAGGCTCAGTAGTTGTGAGGCAAGGTTTGCTCCACAGCATGTGGGATCTTCCTGGATCAGGGATCCAACCCATGTCTCCTGCATTGCCTGGCCAGTTCTTTACCACTGAGTCACCAGGGAAGCCCTGTGTGCTACTTTGTGTTGAAAGTGTCAACAGTTCTTGGTATTAAACTAAAACAAACATTTACTGACATTTGGAAAGAAAGCCCTTTTACCTTCCTGCCTTCTCCCAGTCTTCATATCTGTCTTTATATTATGTTATATATTTCCTATATTATATCTGATAAAACTGAAGCTTGGAGAAGCTAACTAGTTAGTTCAATTGTTAGTACCAAACCTGTACTTCTAAGTCAGGTCTTCTGATTCCAAATACAGTTTGCCCCAGTTCCCTGTAGCCTCCTCTCTTCTCTGCCATTGGAGCAAATTTTCCTCAGCTTTACAAGCCTGAGCACAAACTCTGAGTTAAGTAAGAGCATTACAGGGGATGAGGGAGTGAATTCCAAGGGGTTTTACAAGTCTGTATGTGAAAGATAAAGCCCCTGTTTGAATTTAAGTCTGTACTTAAAAGATAAAGCCCCACCAGTGGTTTGTAAATTCAAAGGCAGTACCATAAGGAACAAACCTGGTAAGAAGACTGTGTCCCCTGCTGACATACCAGCCTGGTACATATTAACTGTTACCACAATATGAAGCAAGGTAATCACTAACCACCCCGGTCTCATCCCACTTTGAAGGTGATGCCTTTTCCTGAGTGAAAGAAATAGAGATTCCTTTCATGCTGATGACTGTTGGTTAAGGGTTCATGCCTTGGAGCCAGGTAGCCTGAATTCTCCACTATTTACCTGACTCGTTGGCTTTTTATTTCACCTTTCTGTGCCTCAGTGTCCTAATCTGTAGGATGGGGGTAATCATACTTTATGCTCCATATAGGGGCTGTAAAAATATCAATGAGTTAATTCTTGCAAAATGCTAGAACACTGTCAGACACACAGGAAATGCTCAATAATAGTTACCTGTGATGATGATGATGTTGGAGCAAAGGTTCTTAGATTTTTGTGCTGCAGATCCCTTTAGCAGTCTGGTGAAGCCTTGACTCCTTCTCAGCATCATGTTTCTAAATGCATAAAATAAAATACACAGGATTATAAACCAAACTTAAACACTATCTAAGTTAATAATAACTGATTTAAATTCTATTGTCAAACTATTTGAAAAATCTAACGTAGGATATAATAAGCCTTAAATATATCTAGAGGTCATTGAATACCTAACAGTGCACAGAGTTGGAGACTACTGAAGCGACTTAGCAGCATGTATTGTATGGAGAAGGCAATGGCACCCCACTCCAGTACTCTTGCCGGGAAAATCCCATGGATGGAGGAGCCTGGTAGGCTACAGTCCATGGGGTTGTGAAGAGTCAGACACGACTGAGCAACTTCACTTTCACTTTTCACTCTCATGCATTGGAGAAGGAAATGGCAACCCACTCCAGTGTTCTTGCCTGGAGAATCCCAGGGACAGAGGAGCCTGGTGCGCTGCCGTCTGTGGGGTTGCACAGGGTTGGACACGACTGAAGCGACTTAACAGCAGCAGCAGCAGCAGGTACTATGAAGCAGAGATGAATATAAATGGTATTTTGAGATATCTACAACTAAAATGTTATGAAACAATGTGTGCAATTTCTGTTAGTGACGGTCACAGGTACTACTAGTAGAAAGCTCAGTGGTTTGTTGCCTACACTCATCATCAAAAGAAATACTCAATTTCAGTCAGAGATTTAACTAAAGATGTGTTTTTCCCCCCACCTGAGTTCATAGACCCCTGAATTTTACCCATGGACTCCACAAAGGTCACTGGGCCTGAAATTAAGAACCCTGATGTTGGGACTTCCCTGGTGGTCCAGTGGTTAAGAATTTGCCTTGCAGTGCAGGGAATATGGGTTCGATCCCTGGTTGTGGAACTAAGATCCCACATAAGGCCTATAGACCTAAACTGACCTGCCAAAGGTCATGCAGTCTTATTGCTATGACAGAAACATGGTCTTCCTCTTTCACTACTAACACTTTTGATACATGTTAGCCCTTCTTATTACTGATTACCTTTTATCACCATGCTTATCAGCAGCACCATCCTCATCACTAGTATTAACTGCTACTACTTACGTTAGGCTAAATATATACTTGTTTTCCAATAAAAATTAATTGAAAAAAATACTTGTTTTCCCTGTAAGTCATTTCTGGGGCTCATAGATTTGAGATCTTTTTGTATTTTTTTTCTTTTACTGCTTAATTTAACATTTTGGTTGGTTATTTTAAATTTTCTATTATGTCCATATATTTTATATATTTATTTTATTCATTTATTTTTATTTCACTGCTTTATTGCTATGTTGTCTTAAGAAATTTAATACTAGTTTAGTTATATGGATTCAAAACACATAGTGATTAACACTTTAATTAGAAACTTTCATATTATATATACACATGTATATGTGAACTGCCAAAATACATAGTTGCCACTCCCTATTAGTAATTCTGAGTTAACCCAGGCCGCGGTTTCTTCCATTTTGCCAAGAAAACAGCAGCCTTCCCCATATTCAGCATCTAGAAGGCCGAAGAGGCAAGGCTATGCAGAGAACAGAGACCGTGACACGCTGTCCTTCTGTCCCTTAGACGTGTGGTACGCGTGCACCACTTTGAAAAGGGCAGGCTACTCTGTACGCATGACTGCCGTTATTTCTGTGCGCAGAGAACTCAGAGAAGGTGAGGCAATGAGAAAAGGGGAAGCCCTCGACAGCAGAACCCGGGTGTGTTTGTCCACCTTGCGTGGTGGGCTGCTGCTCCAGGGTGGGAAGGAGGAGTGAAGATGCTTTACCAAAGCTCAACATTTTCTCCTTATTTCTTCACTTCTGTGTTTACGAAATGACAACAGCAAGGAGTTTTGCTAGAGTAGTCGGTGCTCCTCAGCCTCTTAATAAGTATTTACATGGTATCCTCTGTGAGACAGGCTCTGAACAATGTCGTCCTCTCTCGACCTGCTTTCAGTCACTGTGTCATTCTGCAGAGGGTCTGAGCAGCTTTCCGCCCCCCTGAGTCTTCTGGTTCTACATCTGCGGCTCTTCCCACAACACAAGAGCTATGAGAAGTGGGACTTGGTGTCATGTTTATATTTGCATAGGAACGTGCATTGAAAGCTGTATTTGTTGGATTATTGGCTTCCTTTAATGACCCATGTTCACATAGAGAACTTTGTGATATGCATTTCTATTTTAACTTCAGTTCTGGTGCTATTTTATGTTCCTACTCTTGTTTTCCATCTTCTCCTTTATCCGCTTTAGATTTGTGCTGTGTTGTTTTCTTTTTTTTTGTATTGCTGTAAGCCTCTTTAAACCCTTTCTGCTACAAAGCAGGGATACATAAACAGATAGATTTTTTTCTTTTTTAAACAGGAATCGACTTAAAGCCTCCAGAGAAGTGGAATCTGTAGACCTTCCTAACTGCCACCTGATTAAAGGAATCGGTGAGTCTGAGAAAATGCTTGTTACACAGCTCACGTTGTTTGGCCACTAACACTGAAAAACTCACTAAGAGTATTTTGGCACATAATTACTGTTTATCAGAGGAAAAATCACATTAGATCAGCAAAACCTTTTCATCTCTTTTGATCTCTGTATTTGTACCCTGTATTTCTTCTCTCTTACTCGCACTGTGATTTATTAATTATTTGTACAACCCTATGTTTGTTGTTAGATTTCTTGCTTGTTTAGTGACTTTGTTGAACTATTTTTGTCAGGTCTGTATTCTTTGTCATGTGTGGCAACTGAATTCTATGTAACACTAGCCCAGGAGTTAGCTGGTGAAGGTAAGTCAGAAGGAAGAGAAATTATAAAATAGAAAATAAAAATCTCCTAACAAAGTCTCCACTTCCCACAAATATTACTCAGCTATAAAAAAGAATGAAATAATGCCATGTGCAGCAACATAGATGGAAATAGAGATGATCATATTCAGTGAAGTAAGCCAGACAAAGACAAATACCATATGATACCACTTACATGTGGAATCTAAAAAAATTACACAGATAAACTTATGTATAAAACAGAAACAGATCCAGAGAGAGGGACTTCCACGGTGATACAGTAGGTAAGAATCCACCTGTCAGTGCAGTGTACACGGGTTCGATCGCTGGTCCAGAAAGATTCCACATGCCACGGAGCGACTAAGCTGGGGGGCCACAAGTACTGAGACCACATTCTAAAGCTCCTGAGCTATAGCTACAGAAGCCTGAGCGCCGAGAGTCCACGCTCTGTGACAAAAGAAGCCACCACAATGAGGAGTCTGGGCACCGCAAGAGTTGGCCCCGCTCACCACAACTAGGAAAGGTTTGTGCACAGCAGCGAAGACCTAGCACAGCCAAAAGTCAAGAAGGAATGAATAAATAAGTGATTTTCTTATTTTTTAAAACAGAAATAGATCCACAGACACAGAAAACAAACTTTTGGTTATCAAAGGGGGAAGGGGAGGTTGGGGTAAATTAAAGAGTTTGGGATTAATATATACACGCTACCATGTATAAAATAGATAAACAGTAAGTGAAGCACCGGGAACCCTGGTATGCTGCAATCCGTGGGGTTGCAGAGAATCAGAAACAACTTAGTGACTGAACGACAACAGTAAGGTCCAGCGTATTGTGTAGCACAGAGAACTAAACTCAGTATTTTGTAATAACCTGTAATGGAAAAGAATATATATGTGCACATATAACTGAATCACTGTTGCTGTATACATAAAACTAACACGACACTGTAAACCAACTATACTTCAATAAAAAGTAAATAATTAAATTAAAAAAAAATTTCCATCTCCCACAAAAGTAACCTCAGACACAGAGTTTCTATTTTATCCTTTCTGGTATTTCCAGTGCAAATGCAAGCAAATATATGCATATATATTTATTTTTTCACAAGTGGCCTCTTAGTATAAAATTATATTCTGCAACTTGCTTCATTCTGAACATGAAGAGATTTCCACGTGAACACTTGTAATAGACCTACCTCATTCTTTTTAATATTTGCATGTACCATTATTATTTAACCAGTTCCTTAAAGCACATTTGAGTGGTTGCAGGTTTTTGCAACTACAAGCAAATCAGTGAACATCATCATGCATATAGCTCTTGCATTTTTTTTACCTGAAGGATAAGTTTTCAATAGTGGGATTACTGTTCAGTTAGCACAAATCTTTAAAGTTTTGATAGTGTTTGCTACATTGCCCTCGAGTTGGAACACGAATAAACTCAGGAACTCATATGTACAACCACATTCACTCCAGAGAGGATTCATAATGCACTTTTGTCAAAGACAAAGTAGTGGAACTTTTTTGGATCACACAAAGAAGGCTTCAATTTCACGCCACCCCATGCTCAGTCATTTCAGTCACGTCTGACTCTTTGAGACCCAGTGGACCTCAGGCTCCTGCCTGGCTCCTCTGTCCGTGGGATTCTCCAGGCAAGAATACCAGAGTGGGCTGCTATGTTTTCCTCTGGGAATCTTCCCGACCCAGGGATCGAACTCTTGTCTCTTGCATTGTAGACAGATTCTTTATTGCTGAGCCACCAGGAAGCCAATTCATGAAACCTGTTAGTTTTCAGAGCAGCCTTTTCTACTTCAGAGTTTCCTTCTCGTTTTGCCCCCTCTCCTTCTCTGCACGTTCTCCCTGCGCTCTTGTCTCCTTTTCCCATTGCTGCTTTTGTGCTTTCTCCTAGTCTTGTCTCCCTTCACTGGGCTCCTTGGCTTCTTTCTCCTGGGGGTTCCCCTTTTTGTTTCTTGCCCAAACACTTCGCAGGAAGATACAAACTCGGTGTCAGACACCCAGCTGTTGGATTGAAAAGGTCTATGCTGGATAACGCAGACTGTCCTAAAATTAAGGTTGTCTGAAGTCCCGAGAATCTCAACAAATGCATCCTTCTTTCTGGCTGCAAGCAGGAAGAGCTCCTTGGAACTGGTCACTCAGCAGAAGCCAGGTGGCATCTGAGAGGGACCTGTTTAGGTTGGGAGGTTGAGTTAGCGATCCTGGGGGTTACTTTTGCTACCGAGTTAATAATTGTAAAATTATTAAATAGCCTTGCATCTGTGAAGCCCACCTTTTGTGGGGCAGACGACAAGACAGGACAGACTGCCAAGTGCATTGCTGCTGCAACTCACTGGGACAGAGAGCTCCTCGGAGAAAAACAAGTCCAACAACATTTGTATTCTGAACAGGCGTCTGGCTGTGTTTGTGACCTTTATGTTGGGATGTGTGCAAGCTGCTGTCTGCAGTTGGGAAGAATGAGGAAATATGTCACCTATGGCCCTTCTTATGAAGCATTTAGTGTCTCTGAGGCACTTCAAAAGGCAGTGGCGCAAAGACATTGCATGATTAGAAGCACGTTTGGGATACATTTTTAGATCTAATTAGAATTGTATTTTTCTTTTTTTCCCTTTCTTCTTTACTTTTGCTCTCTGGTCACCATACACTATGTGAACATTTGTTGAGTGCTATGTCAGGGATGCATAATGGTTAATAATAGCTTGTGGGGATATGTTTTTAACAAGAGTTGCGTATGCAGTGGTCTTTGACTACAAAGGATTAGTAGGATACACTTTCCCATATGGGCAAAAGCAACTTCTCATGGTAGACAGCGGGAATACAGTTCTCTTTTTAGTTTCCGCTTTGGGAACAGTAACAGCCATGCACTTGAGGCCAGCTAATCCCTCCAGGAGGTAAGACCATATACCCTGCCCCCACCCCCCTCCATCCCCATCAAGGAGCGTGCGCGCGCGCACACACACACACATCAAGGCTACATTCATCATGACTGGAAATGAACTCTTAGGTGCTTTATACGTATCATATCATCTCATGTCTGTTTTAATAAATAAATAACCACTACCACTGGAGAAGGAAATGGCAACCCACTCCAGTATTCTTGCCTGGGAAATCCATGGACAGAGGAGCCTGGCGGGCTATAGCCGATAAGGTCACAAAAGAGTCAGACACAACTGAGCAACTAAACAACAACAACAATCACTACCATGTATCATGCAGGATATGTGCCTTCAGGGGGGGTCAGAGAGTAAGTTCACTACTTATTCCATTTTTTTTTTATTCCTTTCTAGTGTATCTAACAGAAACTAAGATTTGGCATAATATCTATGTCTAAATAATAAAAAATATGCTTAAAGAGCTATTTAATTCTATTTGAAGTTTAAAACATTTAAAAATGTCTTTGAAAATGCTGGCATTCAGAGTCCTGGACTAAAAATTTTGAATGGATTATTTCTCTTGAGTTAATAAATGATTTTATACACTTGGCAGTCAAGATTTTTATAACTGCTTCTTGAGAGTTTGTTTTTTTTTTAAGCATTAAAGTTTGTAGCTCTTGTCATCAAGTACTTTGCAATCTACCTATGAAAAGGAAAGCAGAAAAACTCACTGTGTGAGATATGGACATATTTTTTGTTTTTCTTTTTATAACAGGTAAGGATCTAAGGCTCAGAGAGGTTAAATAACTTTTGCAATTTTTTTCAATGTATCATTAACACATATATCTGATTAGTGAACCAAAAAAGTGGAAAATAATAGGCTACATTACGTTTTGGATACTCTGTTGGGTATGAAGGGCTGATCAGCTGTTATAAAATTACAGTGAGTAACTTACAGAAGAAAGAAATTGATTTTCTTTTATGTGACAGTCCAAAGGCAAGCAAATGGCCTAGGGTGATTAGATGACTGTATCTCACGTGGTCATTCTGAGACCAAGGCTGATGGAGTGACACAGCTATTGTCAACGTACCACCTTGGTCCACGACTAGAACTCCAGTTGTTGCCGTTTACCAGCAAGAAGGGGTAGGAAGAACATTTACCTAGATATTTTTACTCTGTATTACCCAGTAGTTGCATAAACCTTGTACTTTCACGTCTCATTAACCAGAACTCAGACAAACAGCCACCTTTATCAGCAAGAGGGACTTCCCTGATGGCTCAGTAGGTAAAAAATCTGCCTGTAATGCAGGAGAATTGGGTTTGATTCCTCAGTCAGGAAGATCCCCTGGAGAAGGGAATGGCAACCTACCCCAGTATCCTTGCCTGGGAAATCCCACGGACAGAGGAGCCTGGTGGGGTGTCCATGGGGTCACATGTGACCCCAGAGGAGTCCATGGGGTCACATAGGGTCCGATACGAACGAGCCAGCACACACATGTTGCCATGCACCTGTAGCTGAATAGTAATAAGGGAAGTATGGATCCTGGGGAGGGGTTGGCCTTCTCTGACACAGATAGATAATTGCTAAAGAAATAAGAAGGGATCAAAATCAGATGTGCTAAGTTACAAGACGTTCTAGAGAAAGATGGTTTGAAAGAGGTTTGAAAGAAAAGTACAACATATGAATTGATGAAGATCTTGGTGAAAGGCATGGAAGAAAACATTTTGAGGAAAAAGCCAACATACATAATCGACCACAGTTGGATTTACAAAGTCAAGTGTTCTCAGAAAGGAACCAGGGGATAGTTCTGACAGAGAAACTTCATTAAATGTTAGGTTGTATTTGTTTCTATGTACTTTTAAGTGAGAACAAAAGACTTGAATCCCAGCTTCCCAGTTTGTGACCCTAACCTTTCAAAGGCTCAATATTCTCTACGCTAAAATAAGAGATAATATTATCACTTCTTAGAGTTATGAAAATTATATGAACTAACATGTATAAAGTACTCATAAGGAGCCTGGTTCTTGGTGAACACAATATATGTTACTAGTTATAAGTGTTACTACTAAAAATACTACTGTTTCTATTATTGAATTAGAGGAGAAAAAACATCTCCAGCTTTGCCTACTTTTACAATGATCATACTGAAAGGGTGTTATGAGATGACAAACACCTACTGTTGTGTTGGCTATAGAAGTGAAGATGGGGGACTAGATCTGGAAAATATTCTAAAGAAGCTACAGATATGACTTTTTTCCCTTGAACTTAGGCAACAGGATGAAACAGAAGTTGCAATGTGGTCGAAGTGAAAATATCTTTTAAAAATGTTGCTCTCTTCTTGATTATTGAAAGAATATGTTTTGTAGAAATTTTTAAAACAAAGAAAAGTTTAAAGAGTAAAAGGAAAATCACTCAACCCAAAATCCCACCACCCAAAAAAACATTTAGTTTTTTTTGTACATATTTTTTGTCTGTGTGTATAGGCATGTACACATTGAAATTGTCTTAAATAATTTTTCAAAAACAACAAATTTTAATTAATTGAGCTCCTACTAAATGGATATAGAAAGCAGAACTTGGACTAGAATGGTGTGTACACATGTGTGTTCATATGTTTGTGTTTTTGTGTGTGTACGTGGTGAAGGGTTCCTTGGTCCTTGCTCTTTACCAGTTGAGAAGCACCATAGAACTTTTGGTGGGTATCACAGACCCATTTTTGAATCTGCTGAAAGCACAGAATCTTTTTCACAGAAGATATCTGTACGTGTACAGGATATTTTGCATTGCATAGAATTTCAAAGGGTTCATAGAGTCTTTAAAACCCATTTGTGGCTCCACAGACCCGAGGTTAAGAACTCCTCTAGCACATTATGCTTAGACATATCTCTCCACTTTCTGAGAAAATAAGCATATGGGTCATCTTTATGGAGTGAAGTTCTTGACTTTTTCTTTTTTTTTTTTTTTCTTTTCTCCGCTGTGGCTGATGGAATGAGCAATACTAGAGGCAGTGCAGCTAAATGCAAACTCGGGAAGCGAAACCCAAATAGCTGGATAAGTGCTGTTTGTTTTTGACAACCTAGAAATAATCTTGGAGACATACTCTGGAGAGGGCTTAAAGGGGAAGACTGAATTTTGTGGACTCAAAGAATGTGTCAAGATTTGGCTTAATCTAAGGCATTTTTCTTCTTTTCTTGTGTTTGGCTCTGTTATCTGTCCATGGAATTTACACACTGAGACCACTGGGAAGGTCTTATGTCTAATTATTTGCTGTGCTGTGTGGAGTGTACTGCAGACAATCAATAAACAATCAATAGTAATTGTAGTCTGTCTCAGAGACTGTGTTGAAGCTTCAACTGGCTTAGGTGCATGGTATTTTTCATTAATTTTCTTTTGCCAGTTTTTTTTTTTAATCTAAAGCCTAAATTTAAAGATTAAACAGAAAGCTCTTTGCTTATGAGATCGAACAGACATTGTTTTTTAAAGAGGGACTATATAATCCCAGGTGTTTTATCTCTGGTAATGAGAGAAATGTCTGTGTTTGCTTCAGACTGAATGAGCAGAGAAAGGGACAAGATATTTGCATGGTTAAATGATGATGTGTCCTTCATTCTGAAAGTAATATTCCCCTGATGTCAATTACTTTTGTATAGACATCTGGCTGTTTATCATAAGAGTGTACAGATGTCAACTTTTTCAGTCTCGTAGCTAGAAATGTAGTGATTAGTTGACTTTGATTTGAGTAAACATAAAATCTCTAATTTAAAGTCAGAAGTTCACTGCAGGAAAGGATTTGGACTGACGTTTATTAAAGAGAGTGGTTCCTTGGAAGAAAAAATGGGAACTGTGCTGAAAGATACAGACACTGATAAAGTAAACAAAGCTCTACCTAACAAATCACAGAATTTGAACATGACATTTATCTATTTCTTGAACTTAACAGAAGCCGGCGCTGAAGATATTGACATACTTCCCAACGGCCTGGCTTTCTTTAGTGTGGTGAGTATCTTCCTTCTCCATCTCAGTGGAAGAAGTACAAGTAAGTTTCATGAGGCCTGCAAAGCAGTCACTTGTTTTTAAAGTTCCTCACTTTCAAAATTATATTCTGAAAACAAAAGACAGATCAAACAGGATCTTGGAAATTTACCTCCAGCTTCTCTAAATATAGGGATTAAAAAGTCGTTGCCAGTTGACTTATTACTCTTTATGTCCCCACTGCCTTGCACTAAAATATTCCAGTGCAATCTGTTTGTTATTAAAAATGATATCTGAAGCATGACTGTGGATATTGATACTACATTGTGCTATTTTAAATGCAGCATATACCTTTCTTTCCATTCAACATTCAATTTAAAGCTAGCATTCTTGCTGTTATTTATTTTTGAACAATATACTAACTACTAAAGGAAGCCCAGTGCTTTTTCTTTCTTTCTTTTCCCTGATGAAAAGCCTATCATCAGTGGAAAGTCATTGATTTGAGTTTACCTTTCACTTTTTGCCTTAATTTTTATAACCTGAAAAGTAACAATCTTTTCAGGCATATATTTTAAAGACTTTAAAATAGATTGGCCAGAGTGATGCAAGGTTATACCAATATGTATTCTAATTGGAAAACTGTATATATGGGCCAAAGAGGAAGTTCTACCTCTCTATCCTGCCTGGCATGAGCCAAGGTGATAGACTTCAGCATCTTCATGGGTTCCATTTTTCTTGAGAAAGAAGAACCCAACTTCAGGACTTCCCTGGTGGTCTAGTGGCTAAGACTCCTTGCTCCCAGTGCAGGGGGCCCAGGTTTAATCCCGGGAACTAGATCCTCATCCCACAACTAAGAGTCTGCATGCTGCAACTAAGATCCAGTGCATCCAAATAAATAAATAAATCTTTTAAATAAAGAAAAAAGTATCCAACTTTGAAGGCAGCCTGGAGGTATTCTGTTCCCTCTCAGCAGCCATTATTTTCAGACTCTGAGACTCAGGGAAAGTTGTGAAAAACTTGGAGATGCTTTAGAAGACAGTAGCGACACTAATAAAATAGCTGTCAGACTTACAAGAAAGGTGAGAGAACACAGCTTAGATGAGAATGAGGGTTAGAACATTCTTCAGGTCCTTGATGCTTTTTATGTGAAAGCCTATGAGCAGCTGGTTGTCTACCTCGGAGGGAGAAAAGAAATACTGTAGGTTTTGGCAGAAGCATTGATATTTATATTAAATTTTCAAACTGCAAGTTTAAAAGAAAAATTGTAGTTAATTACCTACTCACAATGAGTAAAATTATATTTCTGGGAGGACTCTGGGCTTGTGTAGAAGCACGTGCTTCCACATATGGCTTACAGTCTTAGGGAAAAGCACTGAGATTCCTCGTCAGCATTAATACATAACCAAAGGTACAAATATCTGGAGTAAAGTAGAAGGCAGTTGCTTGCCTTTTTTTTTTTTTTTTTCAAAGAAGCTGTTCTCAGAGATGTGGGTAATCCAGAACTCATCTATTTCAAGATTTTATCCCCATAAGAATAAATCTGAATTAGGAAGAGCGAGGTCTTCAAATACATAAATCTACAGCCATTTTTAGCTGAGAGATCTAATATAGTCACAGTGATCTTGTAGTCAAGTCAACAGAATTTCTTCTGCATGATTTTCTCTTATCCTTCTTTGGTTATATGACTTATTAATTTAAAATGATTTACTTTCATTTTATTGATTTTTAAAATTTACTCAGCATTGTCTCTAATATTTCCTAGTATGTGCTCCTTTCTAAATGAGTAACTCCTACATCGTGGCATTTGTTTATTCTTCCAAGCACTGTAGCCCATTAACCCATCCCATTCAACAATTAGGGGCAACCTCAAAACTAACACCACATTTAATGAGGACTTGGATGACATAGAATAGAATAGAGATTTAAATATCAGTGTAAGTGTACTTAAAACTGCTGAACTGTACACTTAAAAATAGTGAAAATGGTAAATTTTATGTATATTTTACCACAAGTGGAAATAAAATTTTAAAAAGAGATAAAAACAGGTTTAAATGATGTCTTAAACTAAGATAATTATGGAGAGTTATTGGGGCTTCCCTGGTAGCTCAACTGGTAAAGAATCTACCTGCAATGCAGGAGACCTTGGCTCAATTCCTGGGTTGGAGAGATCCTCTGGAGAAGGGTTAGGCCACTCTCTCCAGTATTACTGGGCTTCCCTGGTGGCAGACGATAAAGAATCCACCTGCAATGCGGGAGACCTGGGTTCCCTCCCTGGGTTGGGAAGATCCTCTGGAAGAGGGTATGGCAACCCACTCCAGTATTCTTGCCTGGAGAACCCCCATGGACAGAAGAGACTGGCAGGCTACAGTCCACAGGGTCACAGAGAGTCGGACACGACTGAGCGACTAAGCGCACATGAAGTTATTACATCCCTGGTAGAGCTTCCTGTGCATCGACACTCTACTGTTTATGGTACATGGATCAAGAAGAGAGATTATTAACCACTGAATTGTCAGTGCCATGGAACAACAGCATAATTCCAGTTTATTGTTTGTTGGATCTTGAAGTTGTATAATTTGATAGATATTTTTTAACTGGAGAAAATGTGTATTAAATACAATTTGAGCATAAAGTAAGGTTTTGGGGAAGGTTTTTGGGCTTCCCTGGTGGCTCAGATGGTAAAGCGTCTGCCTACAACGCAGGTTTGATACCTGGGTTGGGAAGATCCTCTAGAGAAGGAAATAAATGGCAACCCACTCCAGTACTCTTGCCTGGAAAATCCCATGGATGGAGGAGCACGGTATGCTACAGTCCATGGGGTCGCAAAGAGTCAGACACAACTGAGTGACTTCACTTTCACTTTCACTTGGGAAGGTATTCTTATAAATTTGTATAAAGTACGACTTGAAAAATTTAAAAGAGAAAAGACCTCAATTATTTCAGTCAGTGCTGAAAAAGCATTAAATAAAATTCAACTCTCATTCCTGATTCAGTTCAGTTCAGTCACTCAGTCATGCACTCTTTGCAACCCCATGAACCACAGCAGGCCAGGCCTTCCTGTCCATCACTAACTCCTGGAGTTTACTCAAACTCATGTCCATTGAGTCAGTGATGCCATCCAACCATCTCATTCTCTGTCATCCCCTTCTCCTCCTGCCCTCAATCTTTCCCAGCATCAGGGTCTTTTCAAATGAGTCAACTCTTCGCATGAGGTGGCCAAAGTATTGGAGTTTCAGCTTCAACATCAGTCCTCCCAATGAACACCCAGTATTGATCTCTTTTAGGATGGACTGGTTGGATCTCCTTGCAGTCCACGGGACTCTCAAGAGTCTTCTCCAACACCACAGTTCAAAAGCATCAATTCTTCAGCGCTCAGCTTTCTTTATAGTCCAACTCTCACATCCATACATGACTACTGGAAAAACCATAGCCTTAACTAGACAGACCTTTGTTGGCAAAGTAATGTCTCTGCTTTTTAATATGCTGTCTAGGTTGGTCATAACTTTCCTTCCAAGGACTTTGCGTCTTTTAATTTCATGGCTGCACTCACCATCTGCAGTGATTTTGGAGCCCAGAAAAACAAAGTAGGCCACTGTTTCCACTGTTTCTGTATCTATTTGCCATGAAGTGATGGGACCAGATGCCATGATCTTAGTTTTCTGAATGTTGAGCTTTAAGCCAACTTCTTCACTCTCCTCTTTCACTTTCATCAAGAGGCTCTTTAGTTCTTCTTCACTTTCTGCCATAAGGGTGGTGTCATCTGCATTTCTGAGGTTATTGATATTTCTCCCAGTAATCTTGATTCCAGCCTGTGCTTCTTCCAGCCCAGCGTTTCTCATGATGTGCTCTGCATATAAGTTAATTAAGCAGGGTGACAATATACAGCCTTGACATACTCCTTTTCCTATTTGGAACCAGTCTGTTGTTCCATGTCCAGTTCTGACTGTTGCTTCCTGACCTGCATACAGGTTTCTCAAGAGGCAGGTCAGGTGGTCTGGTATTCCCATCTCTTTCACAATTTTCCACAGTTTATTGTGATCCACACAATCAAAGGCTTTGGCATAGTCAATAAAGCAGAAATAAATTAAAAGCTCAAAAAAAAAAAAAAACCTAGAAGTAGAAGGAAACTTCCCAGAAACCTACAGCAAACATCATTCTTAGTGGTGAAACATTCGCTGCCTTCCCATTAATGTTTAAAAAAGGAAGAAAATGCCCTAAAACACTGTAACCATCAGTAATCTACTAAAGTTCTTAATAACCCAAGAAAACACGAAAAAGAAATATGATGTAGGAAAAAAGACGAAACTGCCATAATTTCAGACAGCGTGATTACTTGTTTTTCTAAACCATCCAGGAGATTCAACTGACAGACTCTTAGACCTAATAGGAAGTTGAGTGAAATGGTTGGATTCAAAACGAACATATAAAACTCAATGACTTTCCCACGCACTAGGAAAAACCAAATAGATAATGCAGTAGTAGAAATACAACTACTACTGCTACTATTAATAAGATTTCATTTGAACAGCCACTTGATTTCTGAAATTTATACAGAAAAATAAAGAAGCAGATATATTTAAGATTATTTTGTAAAGTAAAACAATGTGATGTGGGATAACTATATAGTATGTTTAAGTATGTATATAGTATAATATACATACTAATATATATATAATGAATAAAGCTATAGTAATTAAAAAGTAGCAGTATTAGCACAGAAATAGGGCACAAGTCCCCAGACAGACCAATATGTAAACAAGGGTCTAGTACATGATAAAAGCAACATTTAGAATCAGTGGGAAAAGGACCGCCTGAGTACATGCCATGCACTGATCCAACCTTAGGATCTAGTGATGAAAAAATGAGACAAAGTTCCACCTGATGTCCCAGCCGGGAGAGGATGGCTATGTGTCAGACAGCAGTTTATTCCCGCCCTCAACTCTGTTATCTCACGTCCACCTGCCTTCTGGTTACCCTCTGAGGAGACTAAACCCCTCATCTCTGCTTCAACTCAGAAATATCAGATACTGTTTGGCTTTCAGCCTTCCACCCCCCAATTATTATTTTCTTATTGTTTCATCGCTGCTTTGTGTTTCTAGCATTATGCCAGCACCTTTAGCCAAAGTATCACTTATTTATAGTTACTACTTTAGCCCATAAAAATACTTAAGCCTTTAACTTTTGCTGTTTTCAAAAGGGTCTAAAATGTCCAAGCCTTCACAGTTTTGCACCAGATAAGCCTGGAGGAATACTAATGATGGATCTAAATGAAGAAAACCCAAGGGCACTGGAATTAAGAATCAGCCGTGGATTTAATTTGGCTTTATTTAATCCACATGGTATCAGCACTTTCATAGACAGTGGTAAGAACTGATGAGCTACCAACATTTTAAAAAAAAACAACAACAGTGGTTTGCAAATGACTGGAAAATAGATTTGGATCATATCTGTATAAGAAAACAACTCATGAATTGTTTCTGTATTCTTCATATGAGTAAGTCCAACATTGCCTCTTCATCTGGCAGTAAGTTATGCTACATTTTGAAATTTCTAATAGTTATTAATTACACCTGAGTGTTTAGATTTCATAACCTTTTCATATATCTATTTTCATTGCATTGAAAAAGAGCTTTATTTCTAAGTTAAACTATAAACAGATTATCCATGAATTCTGTATACAGAGTGAGAAACACTCTTTCTTAAAGGTCAGGAGACCAATGGTCAATAAATAACACTAGAAAGACAGTGATGGCAAAGATGGGGAAGAAGAATGATCTGGTAGGTCCTCTAACAGCTTACACATTCAGCCTTTCCTTGCCCGTGGTATTTAAATGTCAGTGTCTACCCACAGGTCCTATGGTTATATCTTGTAAATGAACTCTATTCTCTCATTTTTTTAGATGACACCGTTTATCTCTTTGTTGTAAACCACCCAGAATTCAAAAATACAGTAGAAATTTTTAAATTTGAAGAGGAAGAAAATTCTCTTTTGCATCTAAAAACAATCAAACATGAGCTTCTTCCAAGGTAATTAGTACTTTTGTTCATTCTCAGATTTATTGCTACCTTTTTCAGATATTCCATATCATGGTCCTTCATCTTTTGTAAGAGCTGAAATACATACATACACACACATAAACAAATACATATATTTACATGTATATATCTATGTATAGTTTCCTTGCAACTTTACTTTTCATAAATATTTACATGAATGTAAAATTTTGAATGAAACCACTGTTTTAGCCATGACAAAATTATATTATCCAAACTCAACTCAATACTGAAGTGATTAAATCATACACAGATTTTTTTTTAACCCCCAAGAAAGTCGTTAGAAACTCTCTCAAATGCACATCCTTTCAAACTGGGAAATATAACAGGTTCATGAGACCTTTTCAGGTACCAGAAAAACTTGCTCAGAATTTCTACCATGACATCCACTAATTGAATTTATATTCATATAATCTACTAAATAAAAGAGGCAGGAATTGCATGGTTTGAGAGTTTTCTGTTATAGTCTATACTGTAGAGATTAATTATCCCTTAATTTGAAGAATGGGCTTCCCTGGTGGCTCAGTGGCAAAGAATTTGCCTGCAATGCAGGAGACACTGGTTCCATCCCTGGGTCGGGAAGATCCCCTGAAGGGAATGACAACCCACTCCACTATTCTCGCCTGGGAAATCCCACGGACAGAGCCTGGCGGGCTACAGCCCACAGGGTCTCAAGAGTCAGCCCGACAGAACGACTAAACAACAGTAGTTTCCTTGCAGAGCAGGAAAAGTTGACGTCAGTGTGCTATGCAGGCTCGCTTGAGAAATGAGGAAATGCTGGACTGCAGGGGATTTGCTTTTCAGAGCCATCTCAAGAGTAGAAGACAAACCTCACCATTGTTCCTCTGTCACCTTCCATTTCAGATGACTCATCACACAAATAATAATAATACCTGTCCTGCCAAGGAAGAGTAGCCTGCTTTATATGGAGTTTGTATGCTTAGTATGGAACTAACATGAAATGTTTTCACAAGGTAGCCATGGGCTACTGGCCCTACAGAATTGGGAGTGCGTCACTACTACTTCAAGAACACAGCTGGTTGATAATGTGACTAAAAGAGGTTTAGCTGCATCTTTTAAGCTTGAACTTGATGAATATTTTTAATATCTACTTGTCTGTCTAGAACTTAAGTGTGTAACTGCCAACCATTCTTCCCGAAATTCACTTCCTAATGAATAGGAGCATAAGTACCCTCTAGGCAGCCTTTGCTTTAGGGAGCTCTTTCAGAAAGAGGGGACCCACCTTCCCTGTAGCTGTGTTTTTTCTTTAACAAAGGGGAAAGCCACTCTTTCAGAAATTTTTGCATAGGGTAACTGGAATTTAAATTTAATAACACCCTTACCCAACTGGTTTTAAAAATATAATTGTTTTCATCATATAAATCTCTCACCTAAAGCACCGCACTATGGCAATTTCATCATCCATCTATCTGGAAGTGTTTATTGAGTGCCTGTTCATTCTCAGCAGGTCGGCTTTGCGAGTCAGGTAGAAATTGAACAGTCAACCTTAGTTTGACTAATAACTAAGCAAAGGAACTCAAGAAAATCCAGCAACTGAGAAAAATGGAAGCTAGGTAAATGCTATTGACAGCCCAACCACCTCACCAGCCAATAAGGCTCCATCAAGCTCTGTACGATGGATAGCTGTGTCCTTTCACGTTATTCTTAAACCTTACATTTCTTGCTGTCAAAAAAACACTCTGTTGGCACTAAGTTCTTTTTTCTTTTGTAATAATCCTGCCATAATCGCTAAATGATCTGTCTTCAGATTACTTGGTACCTTACAAAGTTGTTCTCCAGCATATGATATTATAGTAGGTTACACATGACTATACCAATGTGATTTTAGCTGAGCTTTTCCTAGGGAACCTCTTACCAGAAATTTAAAGCACATATTGTGTAAACCTTCTGGATACTTAATCTTTAATATGGAGACCAACTGGCTTTTCATTTTCTCTCACATGTTATTTTTCTCTTCCAGTGTGAATGATATCATAGCTGTTGGACCAGAACATTTCTATGCTACCAATGACCACTATTTCTCTGATCCTTTCTTAAAGTATTTGGAAACATACTTGAACTTACACTGGACAAATGTTGTTTACTACAGTCCAAATGAAGTGAAAGTGGTAGCAGAAGGATTTGATTCAGCAAATGGGATCAATATTTCACCTGATAAAAAGTATGGACTCTTACAGAAGTATTTTCATTTCTCTTTAGTCATGGTGCTGGGTGAAGTTCTTTACTTTGCTCTTTTTATTTAAGGCAGAAATAGCTTACCTGTTATTTTTGGTCTATGATAAATATATATGATATTTATAACTATTACTATAATGCTATGATATTATAATACATATATGTAATACATTAGTGGCCTTCCAAGGTTACTGGGCTTCCCAGGTGGCACAGTGGTGAAGACTCCACCTGTCAATGCAGGAGACACAAGAGATGCAGGTTTGATCTCCGGGTCAGGAAGATCACCTGGCGTAGGAAATGGCAAACCACTCCAGTATTCTTGCCTGGGAAATCCCATGGACAGAGGAGCCTGGTGGGCTACAGTCCATGGGGTAGCAAAAAGAGTCAAATAGGACTTAGCAGCTAACAATGACAGCAACTATATCATTACAGAATTTAATTTTATAAATGTAAATTTTTATAAAATGGGTTCATATTTATATATACATATTTAAATATAAGGTAGATGTTTTTCTTTTAAATAAATATATTATTGTTTTATTGGCTTTTATTGTTTTATTCCATTATAAGGATGACTGTAAACTAGCCAGTTCTCTATGGATATATATGATTTTCTTTTCTGTACAAAATAAATTTTTTATTTTTCTTTTACCACTGAAACTTATCCATATATTTTTAAGGCAGAACCTCCCCCCAAGGGAGAATGACAGCATAATGGTTAAATTTTCAGATTTTGGAGTCATACAGACCGAGGTTCAAATGCCTACTGGGTATTGACTAAATCTGGGGCTATGAGCCCCTTCCCTCTGCACATTTGTACCAGTGTTTCTGTAGAACAAACTCCTCAAATAGAACTACTTGCCCAAAGAGTGCTCCTTTTAAATGTTAATTTTTATAGTGCCAAATTCCGCCCCCAAATTCTTTCACTTTTATATGTCCAACTCTAGTTTATAGAAAGGATATTAAATTCTTTATTAATTTTCCCTTTTACTAGGTTAGCGCATTGAACAATTTAAACTACTACACATATAACATGAAATAAATCTGCCATCCTTGACAACTAAATGTCTTTATTTTCATGACAGTTTCTTCTTTATTGTTGATTACAGAAAATGGATGTAGAATCTTTCAAATTGTCTGTAACTGACCCAATCCAACCTCTCCCACCAAATCTGTTTTGCTCCCCGACTCTCATCTTTCAATTATGAGAGTCAAACTTTCCAGTCACTCAGGCTGAAAACAGTAATACCAACAGGGGGTCCAGCTTTAGCTCCTCTCTCACTACTCCTGCCCAGCCGCTGAGCAGGGCACACTGGTTCTGCGTGCGGTTCCTCAGCCCCTCTTCCTTTCCACTGACACCTGCTTGGTTTGGGTTCTCACTCTCACTTTCTTCCCATTTGTCTTCAGTCCTCTTTTTTTTTTTTTTTTTTTGCATCATTGCCAATTTTGTCTTTCTGTGTCCCACTGCCCTTCCAAGACCTCCGGAAGAGGGACCTCTGTCTGCTTCACCTTTGACTCCTCGCCCTGAGCCCAGCCAGGCACAAACCACATGCTTAGTGATTTGCTGCACAGAGCCGACCGTTTGTTGTTATTACACTCTGTTATTCCAGAAATTCAGTGGACCCCAATTGCTTTCCAAATCAAGGCAGGCTAAAGGGTTAGACTTTAATAGGCTAGCTCCAACCTCTCTCTTCTACTGTTTTCATACTTACTACGCTTTAGACAGGAGCTCAGTATTTTGCAAACCCGCCTCTTTCATTCTTGCTCACTGTACCTTTGCTCACGTGTTTTCTTTTGCTTAAAAGATGCTTTGTCCTCATATCCTCAAATCCAGTCGCTCAGTCCATGTCCACTGCAGATGCCCCTTTCTTTGCAAGCCCTTCTATTTTTTCAGGAGTTAGATATTTCTTCAGTCTCTAGACCCAAAATATGTCTTATGGTACCATCATGCTGTATTATTTGTTTAATGTGTACAGGCCATCTACTTACCACAACACATGATAAACTTTTCAGGAAAAACAGCTGTTTTCGTCATGTTTATATCTGTCACAATACTGAGTTCATGGTTTTACCCATTATAATTGCTCAATAGAACAGTTGCCATGGAACAGTCAATTCAATGAGGAAGATTATGGTAAAGCAGTCCATTAATTCACCCTCCTTAGATGCAGACAAATTATTCTGAGTAGATACTTATCTCTAATGTTTGAAGTTCTCAATATGTTAATAAATGTCTTCTGTTTTATACCAAATATTTCTACATGTATATGAGCTCTTGAAATGTCAAATTATATTATGGAATGTAAAAGATTTTTTTAAACATCTATTTTATTGTCCCTTCAGTGGCAAATATCAGACTTTATATATTTTTTAAATTTATTTGTTTTAATTGGAGGAAATTGCTTTACAATGCTGTGTTGGTTTCTGCCATACAATAACATCAATCAGCCAGAGGTATACATATATTTTCTCCCTCTTGAACCTTCTTCCCACCTCTCACCCCACAGACTTGATATTTTAAATGCTGCCCTATATTATTTTTCCTTACCAATCTTTTGAAAAATAATTTAACAATTCCACGACTGTTGTAGCAGCACTGAATTGATTTTGAAAGCTTACTTTTAAATAGAAATTGACCTTTATCAGGCTTTCCTTGAGGGCCCATCATTGATTAACTGCTTGGCAGGTTATTAAGACTTATTCTTCCCACTGTGTTAATGAAGCTTTATCTTGGCTTGGAGCTCTAACCAGTGTGTCCTTCCTGCAAAGGTACATCTATGTTGCTGATATACTGGCTCATGAAATTCATGTTTTGGAAAAGCAACCTAATATGAATTTAACTCAGTTGAAGGTAAAATATTTCTTTCTATATCTAAAGTTGACATTAATCTTGAAATTACATAACCATACTATATTATAACAATACCTCCCTTAAAACAGAATAGCCAGTGTTGCTACTCTGGGTTTTTCACTGCTACCTGTCTATAATTGACTAAGTCTCTTGTTTCCCAAAGTCACAAGAACAGTCATGACTGATTACATGCAGCTGTATGTTGGGAGGGACATTTGCATCAGAGTTAGCGCCCACTCCATGAAGTACTGATGGCACCCGATGAATTCCAGTAAGAAATTTTCACAGTTGAAAAGACTAATAGATGAATTCCAAAATGAAGATTTATGCAAGTTGTCAGTTCTTTCAATAATAAATGAAGGTGGAAATTGGGTTCCACACCATTATTATTTTCTTCCTGCTTGACAACACATATTTTAGATTGATGAAGAATTTATTTGAATGAGTTTCTTGAGCTAACCGATCATTGTGCATCTTTTAAAGGGGGAAAGGGGTTCATTTTTTAGAGAGATTGATTATTGTCCTAACTTCCTTAATTTCAGGAAGAATGAAAAGTGACTCTAAACGAGTGTATTAAATTTATTTTATGCAATATTGGTGTTAAAGAGTGGAAGCAGGAGATGGGTATAATTTCCCCATATGCACAGGGGCAAGAAAGGTTAGCCCTAAATTATCTAATTGAGGTTTCTCATGACATTTAGATGTTGACGTTTTTTCATTTGGAAGGTACTCAAGTTGGATACACTGGTGGATAATTTATCCATTGACCCTTCCTCGGGGGACATCTTGGTAGGCTGTCATCCTAATGGCCAGAAGCTCTTCGTGTATGACCCGAAGAATCCTCCCTCATCAGAGGTTTTTATATGTTTTACTTTTTAAACCTTAATTATTCAAACCCTTTTGAACTAATAATACAATAAACTGTCCCAGGGATGGTCTGTTTAGTCCTTTTAAACCAATAATACAATAAACGTGTGGCGGTTGGCTTCGTAATTGCTTTAAGCCAATAATTGGCAGAATTTCACATTGTTCAAATACTTTGAGAAAGGTAATCTTTTGATGTAGTAAATGATGGTAGAAGCCAGTCAAAAGATCTTTTTTTCTAAAGATGTGCCCTCCTTGTGTGGTATACTGGCAATTTTTTAAATACCTGGCTTATTGTCAGCTCACTGCATGGCACGACTTTTGTTCATGCTAAAGTAGGCACATTAGTGTGGAAGTTTTTCTATTAATGCTCAATTACTGTAATAACACTCAATCCGGTGTTGGCATGCAGTCTCTCGGTGGCTTAAGAAAGTACTTTCTTTGAGGTTTTAACAAAGTAATTTAAACATTAACAAAATTGCTAACTGCCATTTTCAACAGCATGTCCTCTTAATCATTGTGTCTTTGTGCAAGATTACTGATGACTGAGTGACACGGGTGGATGGTGGTTTATATTAATCCTTCATATCTCCTGAATAGGTTCTCCGCATCCAGAATATTTTATCTGAGAAGCCTACAGTGACTACAGTTTATGCCAACAATGGATCTGTTCTCCAGGGAAGTTCTGTGGCCTCCGTGTATGACAAGAAGCTGCTCATAGGCACTTTATACCACAGAGCCCTATACTGTGAGCTGTAAATGGCCCTTCTGGTATGCAGGTGTGCTAGCATCTCAACAACTAATTTTCTATGAATTGCTAATTCTGAGGGAATTTAACCAGCAATGTTGACCCCAAAATGTGTGACATATAAATTTATTTCAGCAATGAAAGGACCCCTTCAGTTCACATAGCACTTTTAACATTAAAAGAAAGTGAACAGTTTTTAAAAATGCCAAGTAAAGGTAAGAGAAGAAAGCTGTTTTCAGCTAAGTGAATACATTCTGCACAAAATAAGCCTCATGTCTGCCTTCCAACTGCCAGAGCATGAATTCCACTGAAACAGGGTAGATTATATTTCCTTAAAATGTGAGTGACCTCAGCTCCACCACTATGACCACTACTGATACGTGACATGTTTTGATGTCTTATACTTACATCTTTGTTTACTATTAAAGAGTTGGAGTTATAGAAAGACTAACTAAAGCCCAAGTTTGGTCTGTGCTTAATTCTCATGGCATATCCTCAGTAGAACGTGGCCACTTACTTGTGGGGTTTCCTTGGGAGGGACAGGCATAACAATACTAATTTATCTTATTAAATATGAAAAATAAGCCTTTTATTTGAATAAAAAAAGAATGAATTAATTAAATATGGTAACTGGAATTCTCAATTAGTATGGAGTATTCTATCTGCTCTCTTTCTTACTGGGAGCCCAGCTTGCATACAAAGAGAAGATAACAGCTCAGAGCTGGGAGGTCAGTCACACCACCTCCTCATTGAACACAACTTCGAACTTCATCAGGTGAGACAAAATCAGTTGTCTAGGAGTGCGCACGTGCGTGTGTGTGTCTGTCTGTCTGTCTGTCTGAAGGTGTCTTCCTCACAGGGGAACGTGTGTGTGTGTGTCTGAAAGTGTCCAGGCCCATGTGTGTGTGTCTGAAAGTGTCCGCCTCATAGGGGAACATTTGTGTGTGTCTGTGTGTTGCTCAATAATGTCCAACTCTTTGCAACCACATTCTTTTTACTTTGTGTGTGTGTCCAACATTTTGCGGCCCATCAGGGCTGCAGGTGTCTGCCTAGGGGAACATCCATGTGTGTGTATGTGTGTGTGTGTATGTCCAACACTTTGCAGCCCATCAGGGCTACCGGTGTCTGCCAGTGAACATTCGCGCGCACGCGCGCGCGCGTGTGTGTGTGTGTGTGTGTGTGTGTGTGTCCAACATTTTGCAGCCCTAACGGGCTGCAGGTGTCTGCCTAGGGGAACATCCATGTGTGTGTAAGTGTGGCTGTGTGGCTGAATTGTGTTCAGCTCTTTGCAACCACATTTTTTCTACTCACTATGTGTGTGTGTGTTTCTCAGTTGTATCCAACTGGTTGCAACCCCGTGGACTGTAGCCTGCCAGGCTCCTCAGTCCATGGAATTCTCCAGGCCAGAATACTGGGGTGGGTAGCCATTCCCTTCTCCAAGGGATCTTCCTGACTCAGGGGTCGAACCGTCATCTCCTGCACTGCAGGCGGATTCATTGCCGTCTGAGCCGCCAGGGAAGCTTTTCCACTCACTATACCTCCTCTAAGTTCATCTGTGTTTCTTTTCCACTGTAACTCACCAGAGCACTTCCCTTCTCATGCTTTTCCCGTCTTCAGCATCGTACAGCATCGTTATCATCAAAATCTTTGTCAGTTACTTATAAAGTGAAAGAGTGCACTAAAAATGCTAATTCATTAGTTCATTTAATCCTAATTAGGGCCCTGAGGGAGTAGGTATTGATTTCTGTCACTGTTAACATTTCACAGATGTTCAAGGTCACACACCTAGTAAGGGGTGGCTCTCAATCTATTTCTGATGTCAGAGCTGTGCTGTTAACCACTCCATGATGCTTCTGCCATAGAACTGATGAGGATCTCATTATTTACTCTTTTTCCTAATACACAGTCTCCTCTGTTTCTATAGGTATCAATTTACGTTCTGCTTTCAGATGGATCATTTAAAGACTTAAATGTAAATTGCCTAAGTATTCCTAATCTTGGTCTCTGACCACATTTGGCCTGTGTTTTTATTTATATTTTTAAATAGTCTGCTACTAAAGTATATTGGATGTATTTAATCCTAAAATAATTACCATTTTTTGCTGTTTATACTATCCATGGAGAAAACATTAAGTCACAGATAAGCAAAGCAAGATTAAATATTAGTCATTAGGGATGCAAAGCCAAGAAGCATATGTTTTAGATTGTAGACTATGAGCAATGACTATCTAAAAAGCTACATTCATGAAAAGTATCAGAATACAGTATGCATCATATAGACTTGGTTGCTATTGTGTTTATTAGAAAACTGATCTGGACAAAAGTAAATACAAGTTAACAAGCACATGTGTTATTTATCTTGAGAGATTTTTAAAGCTTTTTTGTTTTTTAAATAAATGCTGATTTTGAGCCTCTGTGGGTCATGAGGGATTAATAAATATATTGTGCATCTATTTACAGTGATCTTACTGGGATCATACATTGAGTTTAGCCATTTGGTTGGTTATTAAGAGGTCATTCAAAAGGAATGAAATTGTAATTGGGATGTGCCATAAACATGTGGATTTAGATCTCAGGTATGTGAGTGTGTGTGTGTTTTAATTCTTTTTAATCTGAGGTCTTGTTTGGTGACAACAAGTCCATTTTGGTCTTTTAGAAAACCTCAGCTCTTTTACAGCAGCTGAATGTGAATGTGGGCACCTAATACAAGCAGTAACGAAAATTAAATATAAGCTATCACTTTAGTGTTTCTTTTTCTCATTTTGTGTACGCATTAATTATTATTGACAGCCAGTCTAAGGCTGATCACTTTTCTAGGCTTGATTTGCTCAGTTTGAATCCTCTCTTGGAGACATAGCTTGTCTAGGCTGATGAATATTTACTTGGGAAAACAATGAAGAATTAACAGCACTCACTTTCACACCACCCACATCCACCTTTCTCCTCCTTTCTCTGGCCACCCAGAGTTTTCCTTACTCAGATTTCTACAAAACATTTCTGGGTGTAAGAGGAGAAGGACTGAAAGAATTCCAGCAGCGGTCTCTTAGCTTTCCGCTCCTGGTTTTCGAGATTTTTATTCCATAAGGCAGAAGGCAGAAAAGAAGAAAAAGGAGCCTAGTCTAATTTTTATAACTGCAAAGAGAATAATTTTCAGTTTACTTAAAATATTTTTAATACAGTAAATGACATTTCTGTAATCAGACTTTGAGTTAGGCATTAATATATAACAGTGAACCAGATACATGCCTATATTCTACTAGAAGATTCAACAAATGAGAAAATAGATGATAGATAGATTATAAAGAACTAAACATAGGGACATCCTGATGGTACATGAGGAAATAGATGATAGAAAGATAAGATTATAAAGAACTAAACATAGGGACATCCTGATGGTACAGTGGATGAGAATCTACTTGTCAGTGCAGGGGACATGGGTTTGATCCCTGGTTTGGGAAAATTTCACATACCGAGGAGCAACTAAGCCCATGTGTCTCAACTACTGAGCCCAAGCGCTTAGAGCCTGTGCTCTGCAATGAGAGAAGCACCACAGTGAGAAGCTAGTGCCCTGTAATGAAGAAGAGCCCCTGCATTCCACAGCTAGAGAGAGCCAGTGTGCAGCAATGAAGACCCAGGACAGTTAAGTTCAATTCAGTTCAGTCACTCAGTCATGTCTGACTTGTTGCAACCCCATGAACTGCAGCACGCCAGGCCTCCCTGTCCATCACCAACTCCCGGAGTTTACTCAAACTCATGTCCATTGAGTAGGTGATGCCACCCAACCATCTCATCCTCTGTCGTCCCCTTCTCCTCCTGCTTTCAAACTTTCCCAGCATCAGGGTCTTTTCAAATGAGTCAGCTCTTCACATCAGATGGCCAAAGTATTAGAGGTTTAGCTTCAACATCAGTCCTTGAAATGAACACCCAGGACTGATCTGCTTTAGGATGGACTGGTTGGATCTCCTTGCAGTCCAAGGGACTCTCAAGAGTTTTCAACACCACAGTTCAAAAGCATCAATTCTCTGGAGCTCAGCTTTCTCTATAGTCCAACTCTCACATCCATACATGACTACTGGAAAAACCATAGCCTTGACTAGATGGACCTTTGTTGGCAAAGTAATGTCTCTGCTTTTTAATACGCTGTCTAGGTTGGTCATAACTTTTCTTCCAAGGAGCAAGCATCTTTTATTTCATGGCTGCAATCACCATCTGCAGTGATTTTGGAGCCCAGAAAAATAGTCAGCCACTGTTTCCACTGTTTCCCCATCGATTTGCCATGAAGTGATGGGACCGGATGCCATGATCTTAGTTTTCTGAATGTTGAGTTTTAAGCCAACTTCTTCACTTTCTTCTTTCACTTTCATCAAGAGGCTCTTTGGTCCTTCACTTTCTGCCATAAGGGTGGTGTCATCTGCATATCTGAGGTTATTGCTATTTCTTCCAGCAATCTTGACTCCAGCTTGTGCTTCATTCAGACCAGTGTTTCTCATGATGTACTCTGCATATAAGTTAAATAAGCAGGGTGACAACATACAGCCTTGACGTACTCCTTTTCCTATTTGGAACCAGTCTGTTGTTCCATGTCCAGTTCTGACTGTTGCTTCCTGACCTGCATACAGATTTCTCAAGAGGCAGGTCAGGTGGTCTGGTATTCCCATCTCTTGAAGAATTTCCCACAGTTTATTGTGACTCACACAGTCAAAGGCTTTGGCATAGTCAACAAAGCAGAAGTAGATGTTTTTCTGGAACTCTCTTGCTTTTTTCATGATCCAGTGAATGTTGGCAATCTGTTCTCTGGTTCCTCTGCCTTTTCTAAAACCAGCTTGAAAATCTAGAAGTTCACAGTTCACGTATTGCTGAAGCCTGGCTTGGAGAATTTTGAACATTACTCTGCTAGCGTGTGAGATAAGTACAATTGTGTGGTAGTTTGAGCATTCTTTGGCATTGCCTTTCTTTGGGATTGGAATGAAAACTGACCTTCTCCAGTACTGTGGCCACTGCTAAGTTTTCC